ATCCTTTAGGGATTATGAGATTAAAATATGCGGGGTTTTTAACTTACTTTTAATGCAGGTCATTGAAAAACCACCTACTAAATATTTTTTGTGTATTTCTTATTCGAATAATTGTTTTATCTCTTTTTTGTAGCCAGAAAAATAATTAAAAGGTAAAATAGAAATAAATATTTGACAAACTAAGGCGATGCAATATTTTATGTTATTTTAGCACAGTAAAATACCCGTAAGATATCTTACTAGAGCAATTAACTTTTTAATTACCTAATATTTATATTATCGCAGCTTTGTTGAGACTATAAGTAGAATTAAATACAAGTTGTATATTCCTTTCTTGTAATTTCTTGTATAAATTTTCATATAGAAAAATCCGTAGGGTGGTTGATTAGCCATTTCCTGTTTTTGTGACAGTGACAGTTAAGAGATTTTGTTTTGATTTGACATCTTGACATAAAATATTGATATTCTTTCAATAATTCATAAGAAAAAAAGTTAATTATTGTTAAAAATAACTTGAAATAAAAAAATAAGCGTGTAAATTTTAATATTACATAAAATATTTTATTAATAAAAATTCTCATTTATTCTAACCTAAACCCTGTTTGAAGTGTATTAACGAGACATCGAAAAAATCGTAATTAGAGTATGTTGAGGAATTTACATTTAAATGATGCTTGACAAACTATAAATGTCATTTTAATTTCACAGATTTTACTAATCAGGATTTTTTCGATGGTCCTCTAAGAAAAGGTGTAATGAAAAAGCATCTAAGATATTTCTGCTCTTCTGGGCTCTGTTTATGCTCACTTAAGTAATAACAGTAACTACTTTTAATATCATGATTTTACATAAGTGGTCTCGACTGACTTTTTGTGAACAACGTAGTCTCAGTATGATATGTTTGGATAATAAATATTTAGCCTTTAACAACAGAGTTAAATTCTTAAAAAACAGGACGATCTAGAGATGAAGAGTTAGTACAAGGTAACACTTCGTCTAAGGGATCATCAAAAGCCCTAGAACAGTTGATACATACAACAGAAGTTGAGTATGTATTTACAAGTTTACTATGAATAAAAACAACTAAAATATATAAATAAATATTTCTTATTGAGGAATGTTTGAAGTACTAGCTAGAAAAATTGACTTAAATCAATTAGAATTTATTTATATAAAATAGTAAAATTGTTAAAAATTTAAATATGTAAAATGTAACAAAATATTAACTAGATAATCAAAATTTGAAATATAAACAATGGAGATACTGCTAATGGGGATTTGACAGATATATTTTTATAGCAAACACGACATTTGCAAATATCCACAAGTTTGTCCAAATGTACATTGCTTTCGTCTATCTATCCGTTCAGTTTCTATCTAGAGACTGGATTATGTGAAAAATGCATGTGCATGTATATGCAGCATATTTGTGGGTTTATTTATAAATGCATATGCTATTCATATTTACTTGATTAAGAGCATATGCCATATATTTGAAAATATCACATAAATAAAATGGTTTCTATACATATTTAAATAATAGTTTCTTGGAATTATTCATAGCAGGTACTAGGTAAGGTAACTACGAAATAATTTTATTACAAATATCTACTAAATCTAAGTTTTATTGTTTGGGAAAATCCATCTGGGAATTATTTATCAGAAAAAAAAAACATGCAGGTAGGTATTATACAGTAAATTCGTTTTAAATTCTCTTTACCAGCTGGCAAAGCAACTTGTGATTGTGAATATAGTGCTTATAAAATAAAAATTATTTTTGGACAATATGCCGAAAGTAGCGAAACAAAAATTAAGTCTATTGCGGAGTTGGGTTGGTGGCAACAGTAAAATGAAGATTATAGACAATGAAAGTGTTTTCAGTACTATTTGTGATAAAAAGGTGAGTCCACTTATATTTTAACGATTCAAAAATTTAATTTAAAACCTCATTTTTGCAAGAAAATCGGTATACCTATACTAAACATGTAACAGTTTGACTATTGGCGGTAGTTTTAGTTTCGAGAAAAAAAATATAAGTGATCTTAAAAATTTGAAGTTCATATTACATTAGACTATTGATTAGATTAGATTATTGCATTATTTACTAAACCGTTTTATTACAGATTCCATGTGCAAAAAAATTCCAAATTTCCCAACACCTGAAAACGGCTCTCCACCAATATAAACTATCTAAGGACTTCAAGAAACCACGCCAGCAGCTTCTGTAGAACAACATTATTTAAAATCGTCACATATCGACGGGCAAGAAATGTTTGCAAAAAATGTATGCAATTTTTTTGTTAAGTTGCAATATCCCACTGTATAAATTGGATAGCAGGGTGTGTCAAAATTTGTTGAAAACATATTGTAAAGTTGAAAATAAGTCAGTACAGGTACCAAGTTCTTCAACTCTTCGCAAGAAATATGTGAGGGCATCTTACAAAGATGTTATTGAAGGTATTAAAAGTGGGGTAAGCGATGAATATCTGTGGATATCTGTCGACAAGACTACTGACGCCAAGGGTCGGCAAATCGCGAATTTAATTATTGGAGTTTTAAACAATTCAGCTGATGACTCCAACAAGTCGTATTTAATCAGCGTAAAATGTTTAGAAAAAACTAACTATGCAACAATTGCTCGATTTCTTAATGAATCTTTGACAAATTTCTGTTTACCGAATCAAGTACCTTGTGAAAAAATTTTGCTACTAGTTAGCGATGCCGCTTCCTACATGGTTAAAGCTGTAACTAGTCTTAAGATTTTTTTTCCGAATTTGATTCATTGTATATGCTTAGCGCATGGTTTAAACAGGGTGACTCGAGTTTCCAAATGTAAACACTTTAATCAACAATGTAAAGAAAGTATTTTTAAAAGCACCATTGCGAGTAGAAGTATATAGGGAGATGCTTCCCGATATCCCTTTGCCAGCGGAACCAGTGTTGACTAGATGGGGAACGTGGTTGAATAGTGCCATATTACTTGCAAATAATTATATTGGTATCAAAAATGTTATATCAAATTTTGATCCTTATTGTTGTATTGCTGTTCAGAAATGTCAAAATATTTTTAGTGAGAATTCTGTTCAGAAAGAACTGTCCTATATAAAAGCAAATTTTGACATAATTGTAAACTCTATTACAAAACTAGAGAGTCAAAAATTATCTTTAAATGATAGTATTTACATTGTTGATTCTGTCAAAGAAAGAATAGTAAACCTTTCAGGGACAATTGGAAAAAAATTAAAGATAAATTTAGTGAAGTTTTAAACCGGAATGAAGGCTTTTCTTTATTGCGATCAATAAATAACATAATCAATGGAAGCTTTAACGAAGTTATTAATATGTATCCCTCGCTAGTGTCAAATTTTAGATTTGCGCCAATTACATCCTGTGATGTTGATCCATATTAACTGATAGAAGGCATAACATTACTTTTGAAAATATTGAACATTTTATGATTATATACTACAACAGCAAGAACGAGGACATTTTCTTGTTCATTTTTATTTATATTTCTTTATTAAATGTAGTAATTAATAAACACTCTCCAAATTATACTATAATTTTATTTCTCACCAAATCTCAAGCCCTAAAAATTAAAAAATATATATTTTTTAAAGTGCATTATATAAATGCATATTGCATATAATAAAGGCATATTTGGTTACTTTTTAAGTGCATGTTGAATGCATATTTTAACCATTTTTTAGAGCATATAATCCAGTCTATAGTTATAACATTTACAGTATAAAGGAAGAAAACTTCTGCAAAAATATTTTGTTCTGTATATCTTCCATATTATCTCTTTATATTATTTTTATCACGCTCATTGTTTTAAAGTTCTTACGTATACTAAAGTAGCGTGAGTTACAGCAAATCTTTAACAGTTTTAAACCTCCATAATTACTGTAAATTAACCAAAATCAAAATAGAGTCGTGGCTCGTTGTATTCCCATTCTCCACTGTGACAATTTCATATTCTGAAAACGCCAAAAAGCGTGATGTTGTTTACACATTTCAAATGTAGCGCTTTTTATATATTTAGACACAAAGCAAAAGAAGTAGTAAAAGTTAGACGAGATTTCAAAATGTACAACTGAGCGATTGTGACGTGACGTCAAATTGCACGACGTGACGTCAAATTGCACGTACACTTGGCACCATCGAGCAATAAGACAAAAGAGGGAATGTAAAGGTAGAAGGGGTAAACATATTGATAGACAGGAAGTGCCATCTTGAGAGGCCACTTTAAACAAGGAAAGACAGTCTCTTTCCTTGTTTAAAAGTCAAATTTAGTTTGGTTATGTTATTGTTTGTCCCAACTGTCACATGAAATTTTATTTATATTGAAGTTTTTTTACCAATTATGTCACTTTTTAGACTATTATCGTTAATATTTAATTAAAACTTTCCTGTCTGAAAAATATTTTACAGCTATTGTTAACAAGTGTTGGAAAATTTAAATTTAGCGCCTTTGCATTTCCGGATATGTCCGCCATCAGAGGCCACTTTTTTGGTCTCCTTTTCATAACGATTAGATTCCCTCTTTTATCTTTTTGCTCGATGCTTGGCACACATATGATTTCGTCCACGCATTTCAATAGGTGACCTATGACGTTTGACGTATCTTTGGTTGTCTATAGTTGTCATTTCAGTGTTTAAAGTTTTGGAAGAAAAATTTGTGTAAAACTGTTAGAAAAGCTTTAACAGTATCTCCTTGTTTTCCATTAATATCAATACAAATCCTAAATGACTAAAAATCTTAAAATATGAGTTCCATAACTCGACAAGAAAAAATAACATACCGGACGTCCCATATTCAATGACTTTTAAAATATAACTACATTTCTGCAAGCACAATGTACACATGATAATAAATATTAAGATTATCACCTTTACTTAAGACTTTTTATAAAAGTCACTATTATATTCTATATAGTATGGGACGTCCCGTATTAGCATCTTATGCCCACAAATATTTAAATGCAAATAAATATAGTTTATTCAAACGTTTGGGATTCTTGTTGTACAAGTTTGAAACGTCTTGGACTCTTCACAGCCATAGATCCGTGTCCGTCGAATGATATTCGTCCTTTGGTTTGTAAATACCTCTTGATGTACCGGGCTACTAGTATTTGTGGTCTGAGTTGCCATTCGGTAAGTACTTCCTTTGGAGTTGCTACCTGGAAAGTAATGAACATTAGGTAGAATTCATAAAGTGTCATTTTTGTTGTATCTATTTATATTTTTTTTATTTTGGTGGCACTATTTAAAATCTTAAGATAAATCAATGCAGTAATGACTGTGTTCGTCATTAATCTTTGAGGTCATCATTGCTTTACTAGTAAAAGGGAAGCTAAAAGCTTGAGTACCGCTAAACCAAACAATTATATCACTAGAAATACAAAAGTATAAATAAAAGAACATACCTGATCTCCTTTTAATCTATCCAGGAGGGTGACGCAAACAATTGCTGCGCTGATTCCAGCGTGGTGAGTAAGAGCAGCAAATGTAGTAGCTTCCATTTCAATGTTTTTGATTCCGTTGCTTACTAAACGTTCCAAGTATTCCATTTTTTCGGCTTCAGTATATTCACAGAATGCTCCGTCTAATCTTCCTTGGCCTAAAAATTATTATAACAATTAAAGAATTATTTAATACAGTGGTAACTTTTTTTCTAAAATTTATAAAAAATAATATTACACTGCAATAAGGTTATTGTTCAAGGAGAATTCTTCCATATATGATGTTTCGTGCAGCCTTTCTACACTTCTTTTGTTTTAATGATTGTTACGTAAAAATATATGTAAAACAATGTCAAAGTACATAGTTTGTGTTAATTAATAATTCGGTTAAAAATGCATAAAGCTGTAAACAATTTAAACAATGGAAAATATATAAAAACAGTTTTTTTATTAATAAACTTTACATTTAAGTTGAAATAATTAGATACACTAGATATTTCTGTTTACTGATTGTAATTTACATCTACTAGGTTGATCAGTAAACAGCACCTTCCAAGACACAGAACACTATTGAATAAAGCTAATAGTACATTTGGAATGGCGGAAGATCTTAAAACAGTTCATTACTCACAAATAGTTGTCGTGCAACTGATAATCATGATTCTTCTTCTTCAAGTGCCGTCTTCGTTCCGAAGTTTGGCTATCATCAAAGCTATGCGTATTTTTGATGCTGCAGATCTAAACAGTTGGTAATTGGTGCAATTATACCATTCTCTCAAGTTTTTCAACCATGAATGCCTTCTTCTTCCTATAGATCTCTTTCCCATTATCTTTCCCTGTATAATCAATTGCAGCAACTGGTATTTATCTCCCCTCATAACATGTCCCAAATATTGTAGTTTGCGCTTTTTAACAATAAGTATCAGCTCTTTCTCTTTGCGCACTCTCCGCAAAACCTCCACATTTGTTAATTTCTCTGTCCAGGGTATTCTTAATATTCTACGATACATCCACAACTCAAATGCTTCTATCTTTTTGGTATCGATCTTTTTCAATGTCCATGTTTCCATCCCGTAGAGGAGAACTGACATAACGTAACATCTCAAAAGGCGAATTTTAAGTTTTAGACTTAGATCTCTTCCGCAGAACACCTTTTTCAATTTAGTAAATGTGGCTCTAGCTTTCTCTATTCTGGTTCTGATTTCTTCAGAACCAGAAAACCTTTCTAATCATGATTAAGGTATGTTATTATTTTATCGTGCAAATCGTACATTAGTTATGCTGAATGCCTCTTCGACACTGGTTGTTCTGATGTTCTTATTGGCGCTATTCTAGAATGAAGTCGTTAGACTCCATGATGAAGTCAAGATCATGATATTTTTGTATTCACTTTGCAGATACAACGCTGAAATATGGCTTATGGGAGTACTTTTGATTACTCCAGTTTACAGTAATCATCTTTAAAGTGCTATGAAAATTGAAGCAGCATATCTGCCAGCTCAGAAAACAAGAGGTTTTGAATAATTTTTTTTCTTGGCTTTAACATTTCGGCAGTCTTTGTTGGGTACTCTTTAAAAGATAGTGTTCAAATTTTACAAATAAAAATACAAAGACTAACCAAAGTTTCTGTTTTACACTGCTCTACATGCATAGAAGCTAGAGAAAGCTTTTTTAAAGCTAAGATTAATACTATTACAAGAATTAACATTAAACTTAAAACCTTCCTGGTTGGACAGCGTCGACTATCACTGCGTTGAGTTTTCCACATCCTCTTTGAGCGCAGTGATAATTACATCAATAGGAGCATCCACAGACATTAATCTCACTCAACTAATGACTCAACCTCAACCCAAAGACTCAGACCCTCATCATACAAAACCTTACATCAAAGGTGTCACTCACAAAATCGACAAAATTCTTAAATCAAGGGGATAAAGATCTTACATAAGCCAAACAATCGTAGAATACAAAATAGGACTTATGAACATTCCATTTCTGTTCGCAAATCCGATTCAATTTCAGCTCTAGGTCAACACCATCTTCATACAGGTCACAAAATTGATTTTGCTCCAGTACCATAGCCCCCATCCGCGTCTATAAACCAAGAATTATCCGAGAAGCTATCGAAATTAAAAAAGGGCAAATTGATGACGGCATCCGGTTACCTTTAGGATGGAGACCTCTCACACCAATCAAAATCTCGCCGACAAAAATGTTTGCGCTAACCTCCTCCCAAACCACCTCATCATCGACAATATAAATGGACAATTCGTTGTTTCCAGTAGCATTAACACGTTGCCTGCCCTCCCGGTCTATTTGACAGAGAAAAAAATTACCCTGAACGCCAGCGAGGTCTATTTGACGGAGTATTTTAACGTGACTGTAGTGCCGTCTCGGTCAATGTGACCGAAACGGTACATTGGACGGCACAGATAATATTTTCGCATTTTTTTTTTGTAAGAAGAGGAATTTTTGAAAAATTTTAAACATGAATCATTACAGGCTATATAAAGGTACTTCTGCGCACCGTGGCGTGAGTAGTAATTTTTTTAACCATATAGCAGAAATGGCCTTAGCGTGAACGGAAAGTATAACAAATTCCTCTATGGCAGGCAACGTGTTAATGCATTAATTAGTGATCAGTATAGTAGTGTCTGCGGGCTCGAGATTGGAAGCCCTAAAGAAGACATCAAAGAGGATGTCGAAAGCTCGGCACAATGAGTGCTTTTCACTTTCTATACCTTTTTTTCATTCTTATTGCAAGAGTCACGACCTATACCATTATTATTTATTATAGTCGAGTTTACTCACCTTCATAGAAATCATCAGCACACATAGTGGTACCCGTCACGGTGTCATAAGGATCTTCAGGATTTGATAAGGCTTTGAGTTCCCGAACTAGTTTCTTGTCCAATTTTGCAGGTCTTTTAACAATTTTTCCAAGAATTGGCTGAAAATAATTCAATCAAATAAAAATATTAATACGGAATATACCTCAATATGAGTGAATATCACAAAATTAAAGAAAGTTTTTCTTTATGTATATAGAACTTACCACTTGATAATATTTGTTCATCATACCATCAGCTGCATCGTCAGATATCACTACGGTACCTCCTTCCAGACCAATGCCTCCACACGTTCCAATCCTAAAGAAAATTGGATCCCTACATTTCGCGTGGTACATTAGTTTTATCACTTCATGAAGAAGGATACCGATGGATGGGGCACCCATGCCATGCTAAAACATTGAAATATTGTAAGCGAACCAAAATAATAATATGAAGACATGATCATATAGTCACACGAGGAAAATTAGGTACGTTTTATAAACAGGTTGGTAATTTAAGATCTTGTTTTGTCATTTTAATGTCAACTTTTATTCGAATAAAAGCCTATTTCTGCAAAAAGGTATTTTACTACACCCATTTAGACCAACAGTTCCAAATATGTGCGTATCATGAACATCTAACCTTCAGAATGAAGTGGAAAAAAGATAAAGCGAAGGTACTTACACTAATAGACAGTACAGGCCCCACTTTGTACATACTGTAGCGATAAGAATACTGACTTATATCCATTAACTGAGTTCCTGTTGGTAATTTATGACCGATCTCTTTCATGATATACTCGGCAAAATTTTCCATTCTCTTTGGTGTTCCTCCCATACACACGAACTAAAAATATTCAATTTATTATAGGTATTAACAGGTTTATATGTTTATACAGGGTGGTCCTTAAGTAATTGTACAAAAAGACACCGTAGATTCTACACTTTAAAATATTACGATTTAAGTCAAGTTGCTTTAATAAAATGTTGATATTAAGAAAGATACAGGGTGTTAAAGTGGAAATTTAAAATTTTATTTTTTGCTATAACTTTTATGTTTGTCAACATTTTTGTATAAAAATTTACAACTGGGTACTATTAAATATCAGAAATTATAATTTTATGTATATTTTGATGTAGCTGATAGAGGGCGCCACATATGCCACATATGTGGCATACATATACACGTAACTTTTTTGCTCTTTAAGTTACCGATATTTTTAATAAAAAATATTAAAGATACGTTATTTGAACACAAAAAAGGATACTTGTTAATACCTTCAAAACTCAACAGTTTTCGAGATAATCGCAATTTAGAAATCAACTACATAATTCTGATTTATCGCAATTACTCCAGGCAATGAAAGAAAATTAAAGAAAAACATCAATACTTCTGAATTTTGGTATAAAATACCTTTAATAAAGTTAATAGTTAATGAATTATTAAATAAAATAAATATATCAGCAGAATAAAATAATAGGATTTGATAAATAACAGAATAATTGGATTTTACATCAAACACTTTACGTTTTGTATTAAATTAAAGTCAAAATCAAAACATTTTATTTACAAACCAAATTAAGAAATAGTTAAAGTAAATAAAATTAAACTTTTTGTTAAAGTAAGTGTTCACTATGTCCATCATTTTCTTTAATTCATTTGTCAATACATTCCATAAAATATCGTCTCATATTAAATAGCGTCATTGGTTCTGAAGAAACTGCTGCAGTATTTATTATAAGTGTTATAAGTATAATAATAAATAATTTTTTTAAATGTTTATGAATTAAATAATTATATTAATATCTCACCACAAGAATAAGACTACCATGAACAATCCAACGTTCAGGAAAGTTGCATTTAAATACTGTCTCACTCCGCTTTCTCTGTAATTTAATAGTTTACCGTCTTGTAGAAACCACATATTTTGCCTTAAATTTGATGACAATTCTTTCAATATATCAATAAAATCATTTTATAAAAAATGTAAATAAATCTCGTTATTCAAAGACAATTCGCATATCCATAAAAAATAATTATCAATGGTTCCAAACCATAGGACATGCATTTTAAATATCAATTTTGAATGATGTTTTACGGATATGCGAATTACCTTTCAATTTGAATGGTGAGATTTATTTACATTCTTTACAAAATGATTTTATTGATTTATTGGAAGAATTGTCATCAAACTTAAGGCGAAATATGTGGTTTCTACAAGATGGTACACCATTACATTTCAGAGAAAGCGGAGTGAGACAGTATTTAAATACTCCTTTAAACTTTCCTGAACGTTGGATTGTTCATGCTAGTCACATTCTTGTGGTGAGATATTAATATAATTATTTAATTCATAAACATTTTAAAAAATTACTCATTATTATACTTATAACACTTATAATAAATACTGCAGCAGTTTATTTAGAACCAATGACGCTATTTAATATGGGACGATATTTTATGGAATGTATTGACAAATGAATTAAAGAAAATGGTGGACATAGTGAACACTTACTTTGACAAAAAGTTTAATGTTATTTAGTTTAACTATTTCTTAATTTGGTTTGTAAATAAAATGTTTTGATTATGACTTTAATTTAATACAAACTAAAATAAAATGTTTGATGTAAAATCCAATTATTTTGTTATTTTATCAAATCCTATTATTAATTATCCTGCTGATATATTTATTTTATTTAATATTTCGTTAATTATTGACTTTATTAAGGTATTTTATAACAAAATTCAGAAGTATTGATGTTTTTATCTATTTTTCCTTTATTGCCTGGAGTAATTGCGTTAAATCAGAATTATGCAGTTGATTTGTAAAATGCGATTATCTCGAAAACTATTTAGTTTTGAAGTTATTAACAAGTATACCTTTTTTTGTTAAAATAATGTATCTTTAATATTTTTTATTTTAAATACCGGTAGCTTAAAGAACAAAAAAGTTAAGTGCAAATTTATGCCACGTATGTTTCATATGTGGCGCCCTCTATTAGCTATATCAAAATATTCATCAAATTTTAATTCCAGATGTTAAATAGTACCCAGCTGTAAATTTTTGTATATAAATGTTTACAAACATGAAAGTTATAGCGAAAAATAAAATTTTAAATTTCCACTTTAACACCCTGTATCTTTTTTAATATCAATATTTTATTAAAGCAAGTTGGCTTAAATCGTAATATTTTAAAGTATAGAATCTGCGGTTTCTTTTTGTACAATTACTTAAGGACCACCCTGTATAATATTTCATTACTGTATAATAATACAATAAAAATTTTAAATAAAAAATATGTAAGTCTACGCAGTTGTTTTATCTGTTTGTAATATCTTCCGATATTGTAAGATTCAGTAGCAAATAAATACAAATTAAAACTAAAAAAAAACAATTTCGGGGAACAAATTGTCTCTAAGCTACTTATTTTTGTTATATGCCAATTAAATTAGGTTTGTACTCTTTACAACGTGTAGATGGATTTGACAGTTGAAATGTGTAGTATGAGATATTACAAAAATTCTCTTATCTAGGGACACATATTATGTCAATTATCACGTATTATGTTAAGTTTGATGTCAAATGTCACGTATTATGTCACGTGAGATAATACATGGTATTTGACATAAAATGTGACATTTGACATAAAACGTGACATACCACGTGACATAATACGTGATATTTGACATAATACGTGACATTTAACATAAAATAACTAAACAATAGTCCAAATAAAATTATGCAAATTAACAAATCATTCGAATATCTGATAACCATTAATTTTGTATATTTAGATAATGAAAAGAACATAAAATTCTAAAATAATGGCAAATTTTGGTGTTAAAATATTGAAATACTCACTTTTATATCACCAAACATTTCAATAAGATCATGAGACTCGCTTCCCAGAGCTAGATGATACAAAATGTCTTGGTCCATAAGTTCGATGTGGGGGTTTCTTAACCGTACGGATCCATCTGGGTATCTGTAAAGAAAAATGTCTTAAGTATTCCTCTAGTTTGAAAAACAAAACATAATATTAAGTGATAGATACGCAAAAAGGAGTCCAAAATTATTAATGAAAATTATATATGTAATAAAGATCATTATATAACTATCTGGGTCTTCTAAAAGTACTGGAGAGTATCAAGACTTTAGGGCTTTGATCTCAATGAAGGGAAACCTACAATCTGCACCTCCATGCGGTAGAAGACGGGTAAGACTTAAGTAGATAGCTTAGATGGCTGACGCAGATGGCGAGTCTGAATCCAAAATGAACTTCACTCAGGTGTTCTTCTAATTTGGTGTATATGAGCGAGTGAATGATAGTACGGAGTACTTTAAGTACATGGCTCATCAAACTAATTATCTATGTTCTTCACATTTTCTAGCGTTGGCTTTTTTATGAAGTGAAATGAATATTGATAGTAGCCAGTTTTTTGATAAGTTACCAGTCTCGTAGATGTTGTTGAATAGCTTCGTAAGAGATGTAATTTTTTGTGCGTCTAATAACAATTTAAAATTTCACCATGCACCTCATCAGGTCCTGGTGATTTCCCATCTTTAATCCGCTTAATAGCCATAGTGATTACGATTCCAGTGATCACGAAATAATAATGATAATAATGAGTTTTGTTGCTGTTCACTGCGTATCGGAGGTGGGGCCAAATATAAAAAGACCAAGTCTCAAGATATATATGTTGGATACTTTTCAGTTTATCTTCAATCAATTAACATTTTTCTCGTAATTTTTCAGTTGGTAAATTTTTGCTGTTGGTAAATTTTTAATTCTCAGCTAATCTCTAAATGTATTTTCTAAACGATGAATTTCCGAAAAAAATAAAGGTTCAACAAAAATTTACTGGCAACGACATGTGATATGAATGTGACTGAAAATAAGGGGAAATATTATAGAGAAGAATTATGTCCCTGTCAACCCTATCTCAAAAGAAGATGGCAAAGAACAAGATAAAATATAAGAACCTTAATGAAATCTAAATATTATTATTACATCAGAATATTATTTATTTAACAACTTAACACGCATTTTTTAAACAAAAACTTCTTTTAATAGCGGCATTGCAACACCATAAATATATAACAAACGGATACTATTGCAATATTAAAAATAATAATTTATGTTTGCTTAATAATATAAACTATTTTATACGTGATAACCGTGATAAAATATGTGATCATAGATGTTATTGAAGCGAAGCTTTTATACTGGCGATGTATCAATTTTTCTCTATTGTAAAATACAGAGCGGATCGTCACGACACGAACTATTTCGTCAATACTATTTATTAATTTTATTCCGTTAGTTGTTAATAAATTAATTTCAAACTCTACTAAAATTTTATTTTGAAATATATTATTTAGTTTATATAATCATTAAATTTACTATCAAATGATATTTATTGGAAGCATGGCTTTTTTATCGCCGGCTAAGGACGGAATGCATTGATCGGTGCAATAGATCGCACAGAGGTGAAAAGATAAAACATAACACCTACACTACACTATCAGCGATGATGGCTGATCGTGTGATCGTCCATGATCAGCACAATCATCTTGCAAGCGTCCACCCACACAATCGTCCGCACGCAATAGAATGTCGAACCACAGACTATGAGCATCAAGCGATTCCCTTTGATGTGTCTCCGAAAAACTGACAATTCACGAATTGTATGCGATCAAAGACAATGATGGGCAAGTATAGCAGAGTATGCCCACAGTCGTGCTCGCGCTTACTTGTATGTAATCGCCATATGAAGAGGGGCCAAAAGAAACGCTATAACGGAAACGCCATGTTGCGCGACCACACACTACGTGCAGAAAAGGCAGTCCCATGCGTTTCTTAATAAAATATGATAAAATAAATTAAAATAAACTAAAATTAAAGTTAAATAAAATAGATTAAAATAAAATACAAAACAATTAAAATGAAATACTAAAATTGAATCAGATCGAATTGAATTGCATTAAATTAAAAACCGATTGTTTCCGTGCTTAGACGATAAGAAAGCTGTGCTTCCCCTCCTCGGCCACACCCGGAAGCAAGCAAACATTCCGTATATGTATTTAGCACCGATGACTTTTCTATTGGTTTTTTGCGGCACACGACCATGTTTCAGCCAATAAGCAGCGAGGTTCCAAACACGTATATGGAATGTTATACTTTGGTGCGAAATTCATATGCAGAATGTTAAAGAAAAGAATGTTTTTCGTAAACCAAAAAATACGACTTTTTATTAAAATCAGTTAAAAAGAGACTGATTTTAAAATATTTGTAATGTATGCATGATTAAATAAAACTAAAATTATAAAAAGTGTTAAAGGTTTAAAATGTAACATTTATGCGAAATTCAATGTCCTTCGCCATGGTTAGTTGCATTTGTTTGATTTGCTGCGATGTTGGATGAAAGATTGTGACCCTTTTTAAATCTTTTTTTAGAAATGGGATCATCTTTTATGTTTAGTTAAAGTTTATTGAACTAGAGCATTACAAGCTTTGTTTCTATGTAGAAATATGTCTATATAAAGGCTTACTGTTATTTCACTGAAATTGTTGATTTGGTGGCCATGTGTCGATGCGTTTCTATAAGCGAGGCACCAATCTTCCTTTTTTTCCAATATTCAGTAATATATTTCTTCCACCCATACAGCTTTAATAGATTTGGAAAAAGCATATGACAGTGTACCGATCTCCCAACTATGGATAGAAATGGGTACCTTGAAAGTAAACCAATTCTTATTAACGCCACTCAAAAATACTACGAACAAAACTTTGCAAGAATTAAAATGGAACAAGAAATCACCTCTCCTTTTCAAACAACAAAGGAACTCAGACCAGGCTGCTGTCTGTCACCCACCTTATTTAAAATCTATTTGGTCAGATCCTTAGTGAAATGGGTAAAAGAATGTAGAAACATGGGAATAACGGTGGAAGAAAACACGCTATATACACTTTTCAAAAATAATCTTAAATGACTTTGTGGCATTCTCTAGTATCGATGCTAATATCCCTTTCAAAAAATATCAATAATAAAGGGGTCAGTCATTTATATAATAGAAATATTCCCTTTACTACGATATACTGGTTAAAGAGTGTTTCAACCATTTTGACATTCATTTAGAAGTCCATTTAGACCAAGGACAGAAGTTCGTCTCCCGTGTGACCTTAAACTCAGCTGCAAACTTTCAAAAGAAAAATTGGCAAGCGAAGAATACGTAAATCAAATTAGGTTAAGGATGAATAACATTCACAACCTTCTTCTTCTTCTTCTTCTTCAGATGCAAATCCACTAATGGATGTTAGCGATCACATTTTCCATTAATTCTCTATTTCTTGCAATATGTATCAGAGATTGTATGTCGTTAATCCCTGTCCATTGCCTTATGTTTCGGAGCCAGGACATTTTCTTGCGTCCCATTCCTCTCTTACCTTCAATTTTACCCTCGATTGTAAGTTGCCCAACCTTGCACATTGCACTATTCACAACCTTGCCCGGCAACATATCCAGATAGTCAGCGATAGAATGAAAGATCAAAATATTTCTTGATTTATGAATGGTTCCTCAAAGTGGGAAGGTTTAGACAGTGAGAAGGTCCGTATACAATGAAAAAGGGTAAAAATGATGTGATATGAATTAAGAAACTGCTCAGAGGAAAACCAAATGTATCCCCATATGTTGGTTCACATAATATAGAAGCACGAACTCTTCAATACCAAAACATGGATAGTTGCTAACCAAATTTCCAACAAATTATGCAAATAGAAGAACGAACAAATTCGGTTTATCCATCGAAGTAGAGCCAGACCTTTTGATCGTTCCTGAAGATGTCTCCATAGTTTATTGTGGTACCCAGGGCCTTAACATGACCTAAGAAGTATCTACAAAAGTTTGATCGGTTGGACGAATTGAAAAATCAGCAGCCTAGAATTGATAAAGCGCTACCTTTAGAAGATAGCCGCAGATCGTTGCATTACCAGATATCCAAGAAATCATTATCGAAAGAGCAAGCTACGAGAACATTTGGCCCACGTTAATCACTTTGAGACAAATTGGGTACCACAAAACATAGGGAAATTGACTTTACCAAAGATATTCAATGTGTTAAAAAATTGTGAGAAGCGTGGTTCAAGTGATTTTTCGGGAGAATGGCGCACACATTACCGTGTGTTGTTTAATCCAAAGGAATCTTGCTCTTCAAGAACAGTTTATTGTTACTTCTTCCTCCAAGGCTTGTACAGAGCTGGAAACATGCTTTTCGCCATCGAGAAACAATGCAGGGAATTTCTGATCGGGGTAGTCATAGCTGAACAAAAATCCTACTCTGAACTGAACCCTAACTCTTATTCTAGAAACCTAGCCGCGAAACCTATGGAATGACGTAGCGTTGACTAGTACTTGCTGGAAATAACTTACTATAAAAAGATCTGTTTATTTTATATAACGGTAATTACTAAAGAATAGTTTGTAGTATCGCAAGACCATTACAAGACCATTACATTTATAAAACGTTTAAATAAATCAGTGTAAATAATTAATCGTGGTATAATCAAGTATGAAGAACTCTTTTCAAATAGTGATTAAAATTCCCTTAGTTTGTTGTTAATGATTTCAAATTCATACCACTCACCTGGTAGCCTCTTTGTCGTTTCCATTCGTTCCATTTTCATCTTCGTGATGTTCCTTTTGCCCAGGAACATCTAAATGTTTATATTGACCATTGGTAGAACAAACACCATTTCCATTCGTATACATGATTTATCACAGATAATTCCGCTATAACTATTCTAATCAACTAGAGTAATTTTCTTATAAACACAACCACGAAATACTGACAAACGTTATCACTTGTAAAAGGTTCAGCAACGCTTTTTTTAGGTTTTTGCCTGATAAATGAACTTAGTTAGTGCTCAATTGTTGGAAAATGTATCGAAATATATGCGAATATTGGCTGATTATATAAAGCAAAGTAACTAATATTTTAAAGTTATGACATACTTAGAAAATATTTTTTTTATCTTATTGAAAGAATCCACGAATAATGTAACCGATAAACAAAAATTGTCTGAAATAAATCAGAGCCGGACTTAAATATAAATTCTAATAAATTATTTGAAATAAATATACACTTATGGACAAAAATATCGAATATTTTGGAATTTTCTAATTTTTGTTTTACAATGTTTAATGAACAATTTTTACGCAAGTTTTAATGCGGAGAAAACTGCGAAAAAATAAATGCTAAATATTAGGTAAATGGGGTTATTTTACTCTAAACTTAAATGCTAATTAAAACTGCCTAAACAAGTCTTTTTAATTGAAAAAAATGCATGATTAGTAACAAGTATTCCCTCCTCTAGCTTTTATTACTGCTTGCATTCTTCTCGGCATGCTTGCAAGTAAATTTTGGACATATCCTTGATCGAAGATTGAACCTACGAAGGTTGATCCCTTGCTGCCCTTGGCAGTCCTTGATGTCCAATCCTTTTTTTCGTTTGTAACTATATGGTCTCCAGTGTATAATCATCTGTCGTCTTTCTGTCTTATGGTATGTCCAGCGAACTTCCACTTAAGTTTTGCTATCTGCGTTGATACATCGGTCACTTTTGTTTTGTTGCAGATCCAAGTATTTATTTTCTTGCCTGATAGCCTGATGTTCAGCATTTGCCTTTCCATGGCTCTTTGGGTATTTGCTATTTTTTCCATGTTTTCCTTTGTACACGTCCAAGTTGGAGAACCGTAGGTGAGAACAGGAAGTAGGTATACATTGGTTGAAGACTCTTGTTTTTAAATGTTGGGGGTATTTTCTATTTTTTACTATATAGGAAAGTTTTCCGGAGGATACCCAAGCAAACGTATCCTTCTCTTTATTTTTTCGGTCTGATTTTCTTTATTTAATTTAACTAGTTGTCCCAAATATACATATTCCTTTACTTGTTCTATAGTTGTTTGTGCAATTGTAATTATTAATTCTTCTGGTTGGTTGGTCATAATTTTCGTTTATTATAATTCATTTGTAGACCTATTTTTGTTGGATGTTGTTGCTTGATCATATATATTGAAAATTAAGTCCGTATATCTATAGTCTATTCTCCCATTTTGTAAAGAGTTCTTTACTGCACATCTACTCTATTGGATTTAAATCTGGGGTAAACGGTGGCCAATTCAATCTTCGAATTTGGACCTCATTAAGATAATTACGCACTATGGCAGCAGCATGTTGTCGAGCATTATCGTGCATTAATATAATTATTTTTTTTATTATTATGTAAATTAGAATAACTATGAAAAAAATTTTTTTTTTTAAATCATATCTCAAAAAATATCTTTTTTTTTCAAAATTTAGGAAAAGTTGTATACAAGTATATACTTTAAGGTAAAAATAAACACAGCTCTTATATCCGAGGACGAAATGGCATTACATTTCTCTTGAATGATCAAATTCAAAATTGTTTCGAAATTTTACTTTACGTTTTATGATTTTTCAGCCATTAATTAAAGTCTTGAGTAGTTGAAAAAATCATTGTCTTGCATTGTCACAATTGTAATTTATTATTTGTAAATTATTCCACCACCAGAATATAGAATAATACAACATAAATTACTAAAACTTTTTATTATTAATAGTTTCTTTAAAATCGATTTTGAAAGAAAAAAAGCTATGTTTTTGGGAGGTTTTTCGATTTCCGAATTTTCCTGGATAGTTAGGATAATTTCAACACTGTTGTTGTGTTCAGCAGAAAATTTTTCATCAACAACGTATTTTAGTATATTGTTTTTAAGGATCTAGTGCCCGCTATGCAAGAAAAAATGAGAAATACAGGAAATTTTTTTTGCTTTCCCTGGAAAAAATTAAATTACCCATTATTACAGACCGCTGTTTTGGACCAAAAAGGCTGAAATTCGTTAAATCATCTTATTTTATAGTAAATAATATCCTGTAAAATTTAAATCAAATCGAGAGACCTGACCAACGGAATTACCCGCAGGCATAGTATTTGTTTACTTGCCTTGTAACAGATGAATAAACATGTTTGAAAAACAAGCCCATAGAAAAGGGCATATCTTTAGAAAGCAACAATAACACAACATATGAGCGAATTCTGAGATGAGGTCTTTCAACATTTAAAACCAAACAAACCGGCTATATGGAAGATCTCAAAGGTCCTAAGAAACGAAAGCAAACCTATTCCTCCATTACACGGAGAAAATAGAATAGTGCACAGGACAGAAGAAAAAGTTGATGCGATGAAAAATTTCCTGGTAAGAAAATTCAAGCTAAACTAGCCTCAGGATGAAAATATAGGTTTCATAGAAGTAGAACATAACCACAGAAAGTTATCAAGAAACTCAAGAGAAATAGGAATAACTCACACCTTTCCAGAAGAAGGCAAAAGAATAACTGAATACCTAAAAAGCAGAAAAATGGTGACGAACAGAGGACTAGAAAGACTGCCCAGGAAAGCAATTGTATACACCACCCAAATCCTAAATGTAATCCTCAGACTAAGAAGATTTCCTATGAAATCGAAACATGCACAAGTGATAATGCTTCTAACGCAGAAAAAATGCAACATTCCCTCAAAACTACAGACCAATCACCGTACTACATCAATAAGCAAGTTTGCAGAGAGTTTAATATTAGCTAGGTTAAAATAATAATATGAAATAATGTGTACGGTACCAGAAGCACAATTTGGTTTCAGAAGTGAATACTCCAGCAAGCTACAAGTGCTAAGGTTGACTGAATACACGACAGAGGGATTCAATCAGAAGAAATACGGTGTTATTGCATTCCTAGACGTCATTAAGACATTTGACAAAGTGCGACACGAAGGGCTCATTCACAAAATGAGCCAACTTGATACAACAAGGCAATGACATGCCAACTTCAGCCGTTAGAAAGTTAAGATAGAACCCGTCTTGTCCTTAAGCCAGAACGATTGAAGCTGGCGTGCCGTAGGGAGGAGTATTATCACCTTTTTTGTATACCGTATACACCGCGGACTATAGGGTTATGACACAGCAATAGCAGCGTGAAGTTTGGATCCAAACCTAGCGAGAAAATGCCTATAATATGCGCAAAATCAGTTGGAAGATGCATTCATCAGGTACATTCAATGGAAAATCGCAGTAAACTTGGAAAATTCATAGGCAGTCATGTTCGAAAAAGGATTTGGAAGTTAAGACGGTCAAGTGAGGATGTTCTCACGATCAATACATGCTAATGGACAAAATAATGACATACACACCACATATCAGCTATATATTACTAAGTGCAAGATACTAAGAAACATACTAAAATGTCTTATGGGAAGAAATAGCAATTTAAGCCTGAAAACAAAGTTAAGAATTGCAAAGAGCATCATTATACCATTATACATATGGGGTTAATCTTATAAAACCAACAGGAAGAATATTCAAGTAGCACGTAACCAAATTATAAGGAAGGCTGTGAACATTCCACATACGTATCCGAAAAGTTCCTATACAAAGAAACCAAAGAGCTAAGGATCCAAGACTAAGGATTAGGTGAAATAAATGAAAAAGCCTACGGAATCTTCAACGAACTAAAAAATCATTCGAACGAAAGTCTAAGGACTCAGATACCAACTGATAGGGTATTTATTAACCCATCTTTTTGGACATAAGCAATATCCTATATAATGGATTACCTTAAAACCAATGTTTGAAAAAAATCGGCCTACCATTTAAAACAGTTACAGATCTACTCGCGCTGGACTTATCAGACTTTTGCAATAGATAAAGGGAGAAAAATATCACCACTTACTAAGAAAGTTCTTAAGGTTACAGAGCATCTATCAGGCGAAAGGTACATAGCACGATAACCGTATATTTCACCCCACCAATAAATAGAAAAAAATGAAAACAGCTAGATTTGGGAGACTGGGCGCAAGTGCTATAAGGTTAAATACCTTTTGTGCATAAATTCAAATATAAAGGGTTTTTTTTCTTATACATCTAACCTGATTTTCTTTGCTATTGTTTTCTCCCATCATAGTTGCATTTTTTACTTTTCAAATTAAATCCATTTGGGATTCCCATAACTATTGTATTACGTATGATGTTTTTCTAATGCATTATTAGAGTACATACGTAAACACATTACATCTGGAATTTCCAATTCTGTATCATGTGCGATAATGGCCTCGTTGTTAACAACCACAAACATTGATAGAGGTCAAATTTAATTGCAAAATGATACATTTTGCAAGCAGTTAAAAAATATCAGTTTATAACATTCATAGATACTTACGTGATTTTTATAAAAACATATAAACGATACGAGTATTTAATAGAAATAACAAACTAGATTAAGGTGCATACACTAATATTTATGGGGTAATAAATTTTTACAAACGTCGCTCTCAAAATGTTGCATTCAAATTTAAGATTTTGACATATGATGGGTTTTTAAATAACTTCTATTTGTTTTGTGCTGCAATATAACTGTAAGCCACATTGTTATAGACTGTCCATTATATCAGATGGAAAGATAAGCTACTGGACTATCAAGTGATATAAAGTGGGCTTTAGACAGTGCGGATTGTGACAAAATCATTAGGTTTTTAAAGAAAACGAAATTGAATAATTAAATATAATTGATACTTTAAGAAAAATTCTAAATTATAATCAACTTTGTAAAAACTTTATAGTTTATATTTTATATTAATCATTATATTATATTATAGAGGAAGTGGTCCGAATATGAGCCCCCATTTGTTTTTTTTGTA